CATAGCATCAAGATATTTTATACAAACCTTCCATTAAAAGATCAAAACCAGCACCATCAATCTTTAGTCGATCTACAACACTTTTCCATCCGGCGAGAACATAATCGTACCATTCAGGACTGGAAGTGCATTTCCATTCCGAAGGGGAATTAAGAATGAATGGTCTGAAATGGCATAGAATACTTGTAATGGATGTGTTTCACAAATGAGACTGAAAAGAGCGATTTTAAGAAGTATTAGATCCAAAAAACGGAGAACGCCTGCATCACATTACTAAGTGGGTACAAATGGGGTCAGCTACGTCAGAATAGGTTTTATTTTATTCCAATCGGGTATTGTTTACAAAGAATTGTAGCATGTTAATGATCAAGAAACAATTTGAATTCTGGATATTTCGGCTTATGAAGCAGATTAAACGACAAATCATTTGATTATGGAAAATCAATGACTTCCACTTCCTAGTGGAGATGAAAGGAAGTTATCGTCGTCACTAATTTTTAAGATCAATTATTTCGAAAGTGACGTGAAGCTGTGCAAAGAAATTACTATATAAAGAAAAATGCCCGCAAATTTCCAAAAATCATATTTTATTGAGATATTGCTGAAAGAAGTGAGCAAAAGTGAAGCACATGCGGGCAACACTTTCCATAATTGTGGTTTTACTATTTCAATTCAGTTTCAAAAATCAGCATAGGCCATATTGCTCATGAGAAGTTTGTTTTCTTTATTGGAGACTGCTGTAACCGCAGCATCCAATTTCGGTAAAGCAAATTTGATGAAGCACTAAATACATACATGTTTTCAAAAAGCAATGCGTTTTTGGTCTAATATCAAACCTAAAAATCTTAGACATCAGTTCTTGGAGCAAATTAGTCAGTAGAAGTTTATTCTCAAAGAAATCAATCATATTCACATTTTTCACGACATTTTTCTCTATCAGGTGTACAAACTTGAGAGTGATTCAACTCTTAGCTGCTAACGACAAAACGTGCGTTTTTTTCAGAGACTTTTGAATACAAGGCTGGTCAGCTTCACTATGTTTGGTTAACGACTCAAAATTTCGTGATTGAAACTGTAAGTTATTTAATTGGCTGGATGCACAGACTCCCGTTGATATTCCCTTTTCTCTACATCTTCAGATGTTTGTGCGGAAAATCAGATATCATTTGTATGCCTAACTCATTTAAATTTCAAGAAGTCCAGCGTTGAAAAGCTATTTCTTCAATTAGAAGAATTCACCTATATTCCTCATCAGTGTTAGAGATATGTATATCTGATCTGCCATTCAGTGCAATCAGTATTTCAGTTCCAGTATCCGTTGCTATTGAGATCGTTCCGTACCCATGGTCAACAATGTGTTCTCCTAAAAATGGCTATGTATTAGATTTGAAAGATCGAGAGATAAAATATGGTAGCACATTTCAAAAAATCTTTCATCAGAGACGATCTCATGCTTATCAGTACACTACAATTTTACAGCATGACAATTAGGTCGTGGTAACGCAATAATCTCAAAACACTGAACAATTGGTCACTTTTGCACTTTGAGGCAAGAGCAGTCTGCCACGTGTCTAGAGCACCTCACAAGATCGGGTGAAAAACTTCGCTGGTGTGCTTGTCCTGACAGCTGGCAGAAGTGCATTTAGTCATTTGCCGGCCGGAAGCACCATGTGACAAAAACAGACTTTCCTCATGATAGAAGCTACGAGGCCAGAAATGTAGCAATAAAAGAAACATACAGATAGTGTAACTCATGATCAATCTGGAAAATTACACTCCCTGATTGCATTACAAATTGTAAGCCCATCAATAGATAACTGGAAATAGCTAAGATGCAAAATATTGCTTCGATAAGACATTTTTGAAGGTTAAGAATTTTTCTTGTTCAGATGCTGCTTAGATTAAAATGAAAGGAATCTAAACAAGCGCTTTCTACTCACACAATTCATGCAAAACGAATCTCCACCAAAGAATAAAACATAATGAGTATAATTTCATGAACAAAGATTGAAGAAAGTTGTATGAAATAATGAAGGACAAAAAAGACATGATTTCACAACAATAGTATAATTCCTTTCTTTTTCTATATAGATAATGCAGGAAAGAGAAGCTGGTTAACATTTGTATGCTGGCTAACCCAAACAACTAAGCTCTCATCTTCTTGAGTTGGTACATTGTAACGGACGCTACAGAAGGAACCGTGGACAGCAGATGTTAAGCAGCTACTCTTGCAAAACATTCACCTCATCAAATCAAATTTATGTTGTAAAGTTAGGTGTCTGATGGTGGATGAGAACGATGATCGAACATGGCCTGGCTACGCGTTGTGACAGATCCCGTGAAATCAAAATATTTCTACGACAGTAAATGAATACGTGAAACACTCGCAAAACGAGATCGATCAAATTCCAGAGCTTTTTATAGTCTCTTCCACAGTTATATGAGAAGATTGATATTAAAATTGTCTTTAATAGTGACTACAGAAGTATGGAATACACAAATATTGAGAAGTATTTTTTGTGTA